TGACGGGAATCCATCTGCCCACGGTGACTCGCGCGACCTTCGCGGGCTTTTCCAGGCTGGAGCAGCTGAAACTGGAACGCAATCGGTTGTCGGTCATTGCGTTGGACGCTTTTGCATCTCTGACGCCATGGCAGAGTGGATCGGCCATACCTCCGCTAGGCAGTTTCTGGAGTGAAGGAAACGTCTTTGTCAAATTCGACTGGTCCGTGTTCAAGCCGGTGGCGGCAAGCCTCAGGGTAAATATACTGTTGTTGGTGGTCTTGGATTCATATGACAGTAATGCATTTAGAAAACGGTTCTTCGCTGTAACATGTACAACAGTCAACAGTGCATCAGTTAAAGCTGCCGCTCCTTCCAGTGCGGAAGCTGCATGTATCCTAATTATCTCCTGTAGAGCTACGATATATGGAAACATGTGGTGTCCTAAAGCGGAAACATGGGGGTACCCATTTAAATATGTAGAATACTGTATTTGCCACTGTTTTCTTTCAGGATGTCATCTCGCAAATGAACGACATTAAGGAGATCTACTTCAGCCACTATTTCACGATGCCGTCCGTGGAATGGGTCGATCTATCGTACAACAGTCTGGAGTACATCGACGACATCCTTCTATCCAGTCTCTCCATTGCCGAAGTGAGACCCCGTCTGCACCTAAGCGTCAACCGCTTCTGCGTCAGTGACCTGGAATGCCGCTGTTCGGCGTTGGACAATCTGTGGACCTTCTTCCAAAAGGCACCGCGTAAAAAATCGTTCGTTACTTGCTGCTTCCTCCGTCCGTCGGATGAGTTGACGTGTGGCAATTACACCATCAGCAGCCAGTTTTCGTCGTACGAATCCAAGTTTGTGTCCTTGTGGGGCCAGACAGACGCAAAGACCTACTTTTCCCGCCAAGTTATCAGTCTGGCACACGCACGATCCAAGAACATTACGGCAGGCGACGATGGCGCACCAAAAAGCTTAACTGTCTAATCAGACACCGTGTAGAGTTTTCAAAATTAGTTAAATCTATCTTTCAGTAATTTGCAACAAGCACTGTGCAAATGCAGTTATCCAACTGTGGTTGGATAATACGAAATAAATAAATCTCTTTGTGCCTTGACAATGATTTGAATAAAGATTTGTTTTGTTTTCCAATGTAGGACATTGTAGTAAATACTGTGGCACATGGTGACATTACGGCGAAAACGAAATTTCGTATTAATTTAACTGCATACTGATTCGATGCCTTTACAGCAGTCGGATGCCAATTCCTCTAAAGAAGGAACTCATAGTACAAAGCTCCAGAAGCTTATTTGGGTTGAAATTTATGGTAATGTTTTATGTATCAGTTATGTACAATGTAATGTTTTATGTACAAGTTATGTAAAATGTAATGTTTTATATACCAGTCCACATAGACAGAAACTGAACCGCAAACCTAGATCGAGTAATAACTTGTATAAAATATACAAAATGGCTGACTAGAGAAACTTACCTTTCATTACAAGAATTCCTGCACTTCAGCAGAAGGGTTATTAGATGAATGATACGAGATTCGCCTAAAGTTTGGAGCAAGCACATTTTGAACGTTCTTGCCGCTTGTTATACACGTTTGTGTGGCCGGTAAAACCGTTTAGTGGAAAATGAGGTTTTAACACGAAACTACAGGCGTCAGCATGTACTGCCGTGTGGACACTTGTTCCTTAAGTGGTTGGTGGCGACACCACGCTGCTATTATCCGCATCGTGGTCAAATTTCGGCAAAACTGTGCCGATACGGAAGAAAGCTAAAACCGACCAGAGGGAATGTTGCCGGAAAACTCTTCGCATCCAGCTGACGCGTGCGGTATGGCGTGGACAGTCAGAGATGGACGGGTGGTGTACGGACAACCTAATTACCGTATAAAGGAAAGCGAGTTCCGCATATTATTGCATATATTGTTTGCTTTTTGACGTGAACACCCGTTGCCTGTTAATTAAGTTAATTCTGCTTCAGTAAATTGTTGCTGTTATTATTGTGAGAATGACGGTGCAGTTGGATATCATGCGGATACTCTCCTTTTTACTTTGCCTTTGCTCATGTGCGGTAAGTGCAGATAATAGTAGTTTTATTTTTTTTATCTGTTTTATTTTTGTCTGTTAACTGCTACCTTTTAAGCATACCTATATCCATTGCAAAATTAGTAGGTGTAGAGTAGAGCTGTTTATTTTGGTAGACGATGCAGTATTCGTATAACTGCAGCTGTGGACTAATGTCCACGCAAGTGGTCGCAGAACCACGGCGAAAGCATCTCGGAAAGGTACGTTAAATAATTAACGAATTGTGACACACCACTTGCGGTCAAAATTAGTTACGCTCCGGCCTGTTCATGTACGCTCACCACTTCATGAATCCCGCATGCGTTTTTACTTGTGTATGAGGGTACGGTGTTTTACGGAAGACTGAAGGATTGATTTGTTTAACTAGTTTGAGTAAAGCCGCCAAAATTAATGGTCGTTTTTATTTGGTTCCAGCGTTGACTGCCTAATAAGCGGCAAATATTGTGAATACTTTACCAACGTGTTAACAAATTATTTAGTTGCTCGGAGAACCGACGACACGTTGGTGTACCAAGGCGGCAGTGATTTCAAATATCACTATGGTAAGCTGGGTAAACTGGGCAGAGGCAGTTTCGGCAACGTTTACCGAGGCACCGTCACTGCGAAAGGGACGTCGGATGACGGCATGCTGATTGGTGATCCAGTCGCAATTAAAGTGGTAGACCTCAGCGAACGCGACGCTACATCCTTGGCTAGTGATATGGAGCGTTTTAGCAGACTGCTGCAAATGGACCATCCAAACGTTGTGCGATACCTATACATTTCAGCGAAGCAGTCGGGAGGAAAGCTATCCGCCGAGATTGTGATGCCGAAGTACAAGGGTAGGTAAAGAGACTTAAGAGAGAGTAGTATTCACCGATGGTTCACCTGAGCAAGCAACGAACAAGAAGAATGCATCCTGGTAATCATGCTTACAGCAGCTAAATGTTTGTGTGTGTATTTGTAGCCTAAAGGCGCGATACATGAGCAAAGGTCAATAAGTCGAAAGAATCTGTTTAGGGTGCATTTGTGTCCCAAAGAGACAGAAAAATCATTCTACTAATGCTAATTAATTATTGATTCTCCGGAAATTTTCCGTGTGGTATTGGTCGATCGTGGATGTGAATGTGGTAAAACGATGGTATTTTATAGATGACGATATGTCCCAAAGGATGCGTGGCCTGGAAAAGCCTGGTGCCAGCCTTGACAAAAACATTCTTCAGGGTTATTTCCGGGATCTCGCTGAGAACCTTTGTTACATACATGGGCAGCATTTTATCCACACCGACATCAAGCCCGCTAACGTCTTCATTCGATCGCTTCATGATGGACGGGAGAGCTTAGTAATTGGCGACATGGACCACGCCGTGAATGCTGGGGTCAACAAGGAGGCCGCTGAAATCGGTTCACGAAAGGGCACGCTGCGCTGGGCGAGTCCAGAGCTTCTGCATGGGGGGAGTGAAGAGATCAAGGCAATGATTGAGGAGGATGGCCTTGTGTTCAGAAATCCGGATCAGAAAACTGACGTCTATAGCATTGGATGTGTGTATCTACGATTATCCGCACTTTTTTTTCGGAATCCTCCTGAACTGCTGGGTAACGCTGCGGGCCACTCACGACCAGCTAAAAGTTTAGAAGACAACCAATACGGTTTCTGGGTTGTGAGAGGTTATATACCGCTTGTTCCTGAGTCGATGCCGCCGTACATTCAACACGTTCTCCGTAGTTGTCTCATCTTTGACGCGGACAAGCGAGCAACCGCGCAGGAGCTGGTTAGCATGCTGTCTTCGAACAATTTCAGCACCGATTAGATCCGCTCACACTGTACTTATATGTTGGATTTTGCTAACTGATCCGGTGATGACGTGCCGACCGTGTGCCCATCTCGCACTCGTATGTGTTTACCGTTACTGTTCGTTGTTGTGCTTTTCGCACGCAGCAACAGAAGGCTGTCAGCAACTGCTGCGCCTGTGATGTCTTTTTGTTATCCTCATTAATTGTACCGCACTTCCTGGTTTCCTGCTGTAGACATTATATTTTCCATACGCAACAGATCCTTGATGGCATACTTTATTGTTTTAATGTAATCGCAAAATCGTAATTTTTTCTGTCGTCTTCCATTAGCATAGCGTGGGTGGGCTGCTCCATGTGTAAGACATTAATTTGTTATTCCAGTCTTTGAATTCGTTAGAAGGCAGCAAACGCCGTAAATATGCCTTTGTGGAACGCACGCGTTCCCGGTTTTACCCGGTGGCAGTCGAAACATTTGGTACGAGGAGGAGTAAAGCATCTTCGGTAGCGCGTTCGAATGTCAAGACTCTTTGAACACTGCTGCGTTGAGTGTGCAACAGCATGATTCACTTAACAGCGAACTGCGGAAGGCTGGCAGTTCACATTTAACTTGGCCACTGTCAATCATAGCACTCATCCACGGGTGACGGTCACGTTGCATGTAGATGGGCAACCTTACACGGGTGGCTGTTAAGAGAATCATGCTGTCGCACAATCAACGCACGGTGTTCAAGAGTCTTGATTGCTTCCTGCCATTCGTTTCACTGGCAGAAAGATTCGCGAAGTGACAGGAGAATCTCGATTTACTGCGTTTCTGAAGCAGAGAATAGTTCCGGCTGTAGTAAAAGGAAAGGCTGCTGTTGTCGGCACTATGAATATGCTTCCTAGAAGGTCTTACGACAATAACGATTTTGGATGTTTTTCTAACGTTTAAATTCGAATTATTTTAAGTAGTATTACGCGAATGCATTTTTTGTTCTATTGATGGGCTTTGGCTACTCGTATCCATTCGTATTGTCCAATCGTATCCAATCGTATCCATTCGTTGGAATGGATAGGAGTACGTTTCATTTCGAAACAATCCTTGTTATGGTAACTTTATCGTTTGCCGTAGAAACATGTTAACCCCAATTTCGGTAACCGCATGCTCCGTATACACCGTTCGGTAACCGTATACAGTAAACATAGATGTATGTCTTTACGCATGCACCAGCTCTAGGTTGACGTAATTTGGCCCGTTAATCTGTGTACTGTGTAGTGCTCACCGCTACGAACCACTGTGAAAAGATATAAAACTCGTGCCGTGAATGCACTTGTTAGCTGTATTGCCAAATATTTCCAAATAAAGAAATTCTCTAAAAAATTTGTTCACTTGTCAAAAACCACTGCAAAGATCAGCTGATTGCCAATAAACGATTATCTGCGAAATTCTTCTTGCTAAAAGTAATAATTTTGGGGGGAAGCCGTTCATGGTCCACTGTTCTCGCTTATTCGGGATAAATGCTCCAACAACTGACGCGCAGATGTTCTCTGGTTATTGGCGATGCGCAGGCAGTTGCGAACACACGCGGCGAGCTCGGCAGGCACGGCCGCTGCATCAAAGACTACGGGAACAAACCCTTGCATTACCGCTACCCCGTAAACCCAGTCGCTGATGGATTGACTCGCACCCAGCACTTTTCCGCTGACCGGATGCTGCAGTGTTTCTCTATAATCGCCCGTAATTGCGCGGATCAACTGCAGCAAGACACATCCCACGCTCCAGACGTCCGTAGACGAATCGGGCATCGTGGGCCACGTGATGAGGGTTTCCGGGGGTCCTATCGCACGCACCATTTCGGGAGACATGTAGCGCTCGCTGCTGCGGAAATGCTCGCTGTTAAGCGAGCTGACACTGCAGAGTTGCAGAGTAACGAGGCCATCCCAGTCGGATATACGCAGAGTACCGCGTTGGGCGTTGGAGCCATCGATGAGCACGTTAGAGGGTTTCAGGTCGCCGTGAGTTATGCCGTTCTCGTGCAGGAACGCCAGTCCACTAGCCAAGTCCAGTGCGTGGCAGATGGCGTCCCCAACATTCAGAAGGATTCCGCTGTCTTTCATCTTTTTCAGCTCACTTTCTAGGTTCCCGGCTAAAATAGGACACCAACAATTTTACTTTCTTAATGAAAAATTTCATGTTAGATTAACCACGATAATCCGTCTTCGCAACTTCTTCAGTCGGTAAGAATACAGATGTAGACTGTGCTCATCCGAGCAACCAGAATCGTATATGTACTGTACGTACCACGATAATAGTCCATGATGAAGTTCACCGTTACGCTACCAAGTGTGGGTATAATGGTGATTTTATGATAGTTCACCAAGTGATCGTGTTTCAGCTTCAGCATCGTTTCGAATCCCTCCTGCAGCTTGGCATAATTTTCTCGATTTTCCACAAACTTCTTCTCTTTTATATTGAAACATCTCATAGCAACAACGTCAGGTCCAACATAATTGCCACGCTCCGTAATGCTGGCTTTGTAAACCTCGCCGAAGCTGCCTGATCCCATGAAGTTACGATCTTCGTATTGATACTCACAATTGCTCCCAAAACACACAGTTCGAAGCTGCGTCGACATTGTGCTCCGGAAACAGGCACTGACGGATCGCTGCTAAAAAAGCAAGCAATTGGTTTACTTTGTATGATGCTGCAGCTTTTCGTTGGGAAATTTATTCGAAATCGCCAGCGTATTAAACTTCACTCATATCAATTACCATTTTCCCGCTGGGCTCACTACGGCTTCGTTTATGAAGCGGGCTGACTAGCACGGGACTGTAATGCACGCTGTCTGCACTCACTAGATTTGTCGTGGCGCTGAGTCAGCGGCGGCACACGTGAAAGCACTTGTGTCACATTATTGAATTATACGACTCAAGAGCTCACAGACTGCAGACGTCAGCCTACAGCCACAAAAATCACTCTGATTTCCTGATTGCCGAGTCGTGATCAGATCTTTCGAAACAGTCATCTTATGAAGGTGCGCACACGGGAATCACGATGCTCTAATTTCTCTATTCCTACTGTTTCGTTCGACTTGACGTTGAGTCACCGGCAGCAAGTGTGATTGTAAACGAAGTAATGATATCAGGCTTATTATCAGCAACTGAGCGGTGACCAGATTGCGTTGCTAAAACCGCACGGCTAAAACTTTTTAGCTGACTCACTTCCCTCTGTAGTTTATATGATCTTCTCCGGCGGCAGGCGTGAAAGTACCCGTATCTTGGTGAACCATCAGCGCTTCCATGACCGCTGAGAGATCGAGAATTATTCGTATTACTAAAAAAGAGCACCTAGCGAGGGTTACTTTTTCGGTCTTACTGCTGTTCATAACAGATAATCGACAACTGAATTCGGGAAACAATAGTTTGAAAATGTCGTTTGCTGGCATGCAGTGCGTTGGCAGAGTACTGGTGCCTGTGTACGAGCGTTTCTCTTGCGTTTTTTCGTTGTTTCGACAGACCGGTCGTTTGCCAGGGACTTTTATGAAAATAAAATCCATTCCAATTTCCCAATGCACCAGCTACTGGTTCGCTTGTCTCCCATCATAACAGTTGGCACAATAATTCTGTCGCAAAGCGATCGTGTAAACGCTGATACATAATTCACCGAGCGACGGGTGCAATGTGCATTCACGCATGCTGCCGGCGGATTACTGGACGTCAAGTTGTATAAAGTGGAGAGGGAAGTGAGTCAGCAAATAATTTCTAGCCATGCCTTCTCAGCAACAAAGCAGAGACATAATTAGTAACACAAAATTCAGACTGGGCACATTATTTCCACGTGCGCACCTTCGTAAACTGACAATTTCAAAAATGCTGGTCAACACTCAATAATAGCTGACTAGTAGACCCCGCGCAAACTGCGCGAAATAAATCAGCGATGAACTGCTATTTAGGAAAACTACAAACCCAGGACTACAAAATTATTAGTTTTTGGAAAGTAGCAGTGAGCCTGCATCACACTTCACTAATTAATTGTTTTAAAGTCTTTTATTGAAAACAATTTCCCGTCCCGCTGGCTGCAGAATTTACCTTCTTAGACCCGAGAATTTGAAATTTTCCAAGAATATCTGACCGTTGAATTTGCAATTTTAAAACAACTTTTTAAACTTGCCCCAATCAGTCAGCAGCAAATTCCGGTCAGTTTTTAAGAACTGCATATAAGAAGAAGCTCTTTAATTAGTGGAACGTTTGACTCCTTATCACCCCTGTGATCCAGATACTTAATAAATTTCAGTCTGTCCATCGTGACGGGCCACTGACGGACACAATATCCAGTGAGACGACGGTACCTTTTTACTGTTTAGAATAAAAATACCTTCCAATGTTCAGTTTCCTCATACTGCTTACACACTAAGGCAAATTGTTTAGGTCGCATGACGTATGACTACTACTGAGTACAAAATTTCATTGTACGGTACAGGTTCTGCCGTTAAGTAACGTCGAAAACGTTTTGTGCCGGGGTGCTATAACTTTCGCTTTTTTCGGATTTTTTGATTCATTTGTTTGTTTTAAGTTGTAATATAGCGTTTTAGATTTTCATAAAACCTTTTGTTTCGACGTTCCTCAGATTCTTTCTGAAGAATATTCACCCCCGCTGCGGACATCCAAAAAGTCGAAAAAGACGTTCCCCCCTCTCTCCCGGAAAAAAATCTGGGCGCCCGTCCCCATGGGCGGTGTTTAGACTCAATTCCCACGCCCTCTGGGGCTGATACACGCTGTTTTGCTCGAACAATATTTTCGGTCGAACACCAAAATTCGCAAAAATTGACTCTCAGAGTCTTTAAAAAAAGTGTTTGCACGCCAGGAATCACTGATCGTTAGTAATCGCGGTAATTAGTGCAGCAAGGCCAGCACTTAATGTTTTTGCAAACCCAGCCACCCCGGGAAGCAGTTGAGATATTAAATCTAACCAACCCGCTGCGGAAAGCAGCTGTTTTATCTTTGGAATTTGAGTCGTTCGGACTCCAACTCGTTCCAACTTCGCAGGAGATTTCGCATGCTCAGTCTTTAAAAGTATCACTCTTACATTTTTTAAAAAACTAACTCTTGATAAAAAACTTATGAACTTAAGGCAATCGGATAACTTACGGACACCAGAGTTCCATCAAGTGTAGATGGAAGCGTTTCCTATGCTTTTCGTGACAGTGGTGGCGTGGGTAGGTTTGCAGTGGTGGGTTCTCCACTTTTCCCGTAGACCTTGTATGTTAGGTTCTTTTAAGATTTTCTCTGAAATTTTACGTGCTTTAAAAAAAACTGACGGGTTTCTGCAAATCTGGAAACTCGCGGCTATTGAATGACATATAGACAGCAAAGTTTGGTTCAGTGGCTCGCTCAAAAAAGGGAGACAGAAATGGAATTCGCTAAGGCTTATTTTATTAATATATAGGATAATAAGATTACGTATATTAATTTTTAATTTGGTTTACTGTGACTGACTTCTGCATTGCTGCCCTCGTATCATTTCAGTCAGGTGCAAGTGCCTTCATGCTCGCAGCCGGTGACTCAGCGCCACGTCGTATATAGAGGGAAAGCCTGACTGTGAGCTGCATTCCCGTGCTTCTAAAGCCGTTTTTTCACAATCGAAGCCTTGCAAATTCAATGGAAGTACCGTGATTGCTATGCCAGTATGCCTATGTACAATTTATTACGCCGGCGCTTGCGAATAAATTTATCAACAAAGAGCTGCTCTTCTTTCAGAATTTAATTGATCACTCCCTCCTAGCTATCGATTCCGTCAGCGCTTGTTTCCGCAACATAATATGTCGATTCTACCTGCGTGTTTTGGAAGCACTTGCCAGTATCAATACGATGATTGTGACTTCATTGGAAAAGGAAGCTTTGGCAAGGTTTACAGAGCCAGCATTACGGAGCGAGGCAACTATGCTGGGTCAGATGTTGTTGCTGTAAGATGTTTTTATGTACACGGGAAGAGATTTTTGAAGAATCCAGAAAACTATGCCAGACTGAGGGAAAGATTTGAAAAGATGCTGGAGCTGAAGCACGGCCACTTGGCAAACTATCATCAAATCTCCATTATCCCCACACTTGGTAGTGTAGATGTAGATTTAGTCATGGACTATTATCCTGGTAAGTAATAAATGTAAGTATATGTAAAACATTTTTTACGCAAGGTATTGAGATTGTTATGCTGAGTACATCATTCCCTTAGAGTAGTGTTGCTTTATTAAGTAAGCATTATCCATCAAAGTATCATAAGGTGCGACCTGGGTCAGACACTACATTGTTAAAATTTTAAACATATTGAAAAAACAAATAATCTCTTTCATCTCTTGGCATTTACTATATTCTCCGTTGCCTTTTCCTTATTCAACGCCGAAGTAAACTTTTTTCTGGTAAGTTGATAGATCTGCGGTATTCTGTAAATCTCGCGAATCATGTTTAAAGACGGATTATGCGTGATTTAACGCAATACTAATGTCGAATTTTTGGTTTGTCATTGAGAAGGTAAATTTGTTCGTTGTCCGATTTTAGCAGGCAACCTGAAAATTAAATTGGAAGGGATGAAAGACAGCGGAATCCTTCTGAATGTTGGAGATGCCCTCAGTCACGCACAGGACCTGGCTGACGGACTGGCGTTCCTGCACGAGAACGGCATAACTCACGGCGATCTGAAGCCAGGAAACGTGCTAATCGATGGCTCCAACGCCCAACGCGACATTCTGCGCATATCCGACTGGGATGGCCTCGTTACACTGCAACGCTGCAGCGTTACATCGCTTGATTACGAGCATTTCCGCAGTAGCGAGCGCTACATGTCGCCGGAAATGTTGCGTGCGATAGGACCATGGGAAAACCTTACCTCGTGGCCCTCGATGCCCGGCTCGGCCACCGACGTGTGGAGCTTGGGATGTGTCTTGCTGCAGTTGATTCGCAGTATCACGGGCAATTACAGAGAATCACTGCAGCATCCGGTCAGTGGAGTGGTGCTGGGTGCTACTCAAGCTATCACGGACCTGGCTTTTTCGAAAGCGGTAAATGAAGGGTATATTCCTGTCGTCTGTGACGACGCGCCTGTTCCATCGGAGCTAGCCGCCTGCACTCGCAACTCCCTTTGTTTCGCCAGTAGCCAGAGAATATCTGCGCGGCAGCTGTTGACTCAACTGTCCCAGACCAACGAGAACCACAAACCGTTAACGTGATTGGCTTACGGTCCGTGTTTCACACATAAAGACCGGCTTGTGGGAGTACTCACATCGCATGTACATCTTATTACTATTATTATTATTGTTTTTCGCTTTCTCCCACGTCACTGCGGTTGTTGTTTGCGATTCGCATGTTCTTTATCTTGGTAGCAGTGTATATGCTCCTCGGAGTCTATATAAGTTTCTGTTCTTGCTAATATTGGTATCAGACTTGCGGGTTCTAATCTTGAGACTTGTTTGCTAGCTTTCCAGTTGTTGTGGAATTCGTTGAGAGTTAAGGGAAGTGGCCCGGTACATGGTACCAAATTCGTGTACATGCACGAAATCTTTCACTTTCGCGCACTCCCAAACCCTATTTTCTCTTGTTTTATGACATTCTGTAGCCAAATGATTGGTATACACAGGCCTGAAAACCGTTTGCGCGCGCAACATCCGGTTCGCGAGTTGTGGCTGTTCGAAAATTCCAAAAAGTTTAAATGCGTTCAGATGTACCAAAAGTCTCATTAAGGACCGATCTCCCTCAAATTTTGCAAGTAAATGCACATAACCACGAATAACGTTTTTACACCGATCCACTGTTCTAGCATGTTTTTCAAATTTTAAAATGAATTTCAAAAATTTTAAAATTCATTTTAAAATTTGGAAAAACTCATGGAGGACTGGATCGGTGTAAAAACGTTCTTCATGGACATGCGCATTTACATGCAAAATTTGAGGGGAGATCGGTCCATAATGAGACTTTTGGTACACCTGAATGCATTTAAACTTTTTGGAATTTTCTAACGTCCATATCTCCCGAACCGGATGTTGCGCGCACAAACGGTTTTCACGCCAGTGTATACAAATCTTCTGGCTACAGAATGTCATAAACCGAAACAAAAATGTGTTTGGAAGTGTGCGAAAGTGAAAGTTTTCGTGCATGTACACGAATTTGACACCATGTACTGGGCCACCTCCCTTAATAAGAGACAGCGTCTTTTAAGGTTCTTTGATGTTTGTAATCATATACGGATTATTGCATAGCAAAACATGGTATGATCGAGACACAATCGTCCTTCGCTATTATTTGACCCACGCACTGCCTACGACCGGAAGTTGGGAGACTTAGGGTTGCAATTAGGGATTCCTGAACCTTATGTCCTGATCAGTTTCTGTCCAGTTTATCACAGTCAATAAAACACCGGGCGGCACAACGTCAGTCCCCTTCAGCCACGGAAAGTCTTGTGTCTGGGACGTCACTTGCCCGTAGTGTTGCCGTACGAAAATGTTTTCGTATTCGTTATCGTAACGCATACGAATTCAACGTGACTTTTAGTTATCGTAACGAAAACCAAAAGTCAAAGAGTTTTCGTTACGATTACGAAAACTATCTGAATTTTAGTTTTCGTAACGATAACTAAAATTCAAGGATTTTTCGTCTTCGTAACGAACGAAAATGTTTTTGTAGCTTTTCGTATGGCTACTTTACAGTATATGATAAATAATTTAACGAAAGTTGAAAACAGTTTCAGTTTACTTGCGGTTTCAGCTGGAGATTCTCAACAAGATTACGAAATGCACAACGACTATCAGCGCGTTGTCTCAAGGCTGGTTGTCACCGATAATTTGTCAATATGCGGTGTTCTTTGAAATTACTCCGATTCATCTGGGAATGATACAGCGTATTGGAACTTTGTTTTATAGTTTACGCCAATTGTTTAAGTCTATTACGTCTGTTTTATTGTTTACATGTATCATTTTCAAATTTTCCATTGGAAATGCGTAATAACTTTTACTCGTACAAATTACAATTATAGCGCTCAGCGCTGCTAACTTATCATTCTTTTATTTCGTGTAACTCTTTGCCTACTTATTTTTTTAAAATTTATTTCGAACTGCAATTACACCATAAGCTTCGATTATTTTACAGAAGTCTGACTTGCTACCGCAAACTGAAGTTTAAGCCAAAATGTTAAATACTTACATGGTTAATAATAAAATTGGACTTCAAATTAACCTATCCGGATCAGAACTTCATTCGTACTAATTAACATCAGTAATTTCATTTTTTTATAAAGGTTGCTCCATTGGACACGAAAATTAAGAGTCAATATTTTAAACCATTTTTCAGTCCGCTTTTAAGAATGATTCGGTATTCTTTACCTGATCGTCGTTGAACGTTTAGCCTTCTGTTTAAAAGTAGTGTTATAACTATAATATCAGTTTTATCAGCACGCAGCTATATAAATATGATTTCCACGTCCCACGTTTCTTATACTCGTATTGCGTCGTTACTCGTTATTATATTTATTATTTTTAACATCTTCAGCAAAAATTTAAAGCTTTTAATTAGTGCTCCCGAATAAAAAGATTTTCGTATTAATTTTCGTAACGAAAACGGAAACACCCGAAAGTTTCGTTTTCATAACGAAAACTGAAAGTTCCGGAGTTTTCGTTTTCGTTACGAAAGCTGAAAGTCGGGTAATTTTCGTTTTTGTTACAAAAACGAAAAGTACCCGACTTTTAGTTTTCGTTACGATAACGATAATTATACGAAATCGTATACGAAAAGGTTTTCGTAACGAACGGCAACACTACAGTTGCCGAGATAGTAAGATACCATGACCATCACCTATACCGCGAAGAAGAAAAAACTGCACAAAAATTTCAGTCATACTCATACAGAGTAAACGACCACGTGTAACGTCTGTGCATTGACTGTCACCTTTGTGACTCATGCTTGCATTTTGCAAACTGATGGTTCAAAGCGGATCAAACCAAATACTGTCATTTCTAAGCGGTCCAGAGGAAAAGCGCTTAAGCTCCAGCAGCCACAACCGCAAATTTCTTTGGTAGATTGGCTGATTTGCAACATAACTTTCTAGTTGCCGTCAAGAGACTATTCTTGTTTAATGATTGATCTGAATGTTGTGTACATATTTTGGAAAATTGTTGCTGTTGCAGTGTTGCGGGTGTCTGCAGCCTCGAACTGGACTCTGCCCTGAATCTGTGCGGACGTTAGACAATTAAACCTTAGAGTAAACCTTTAACAAGAATAGCAAATTAGATTAGAATGTAGGCTAATGCGTTGTCTTGTCTTAAAATAAAGCACTTCATTCACAGGTTCCCCAATAATTATTTCGATGATGCTAATTATTACTAGTATAAAGGTCGTAACCGCCCTTAGTGCAAGCGAGCGAGCGTGTAAATTTTTCTTGTTGTAAAAGACTCGGTTGGGTAAGACTGCATCACTGGAACAGAAGTAGTCAGTTTTCGCCACCAATACGATGCCGAAATGATATCATTATTTTTATGCCGTTTGCGAAACTATGCCGATACAATATGTTATTTTTGAATGTTTTTTATTTTTGATTCCGTTAAAAAAAGTATAATATTCTTCGAGCTTCGTACTTGTGCATGCGTTCCAAGAAACTGAATTCCGAATTTCGTAAGATGAAATGGTTTCTGGTTGGCTGAAAATTGCGTGTAAAAAGATAGAAGATGTATTTTTATAACGCTCAAATTTCTTCTAATTAACGTTTCACGTAAAACTAAATTCCAAAGTTTAAAAATTTAAATTTTTTTGGTACTACGCAGGAGGGGGGGGGAAGCTGAGACGCTTGAGCTAACCAAGCCAAAGGCATTTCAGATTTGTGTGTTGGCCAAAATAATTTTTGCGGTTACGCTCGGCATTGTAGAGCCGATTGTGAGTCGACAGTCGGCGTGATTGACTGGCATAAGTTTACCGCTATCCACCAGTCTGTCTAGGTCTCTCCGTACTCCCGCACGCAACCCAACGCGATACGAGCGTGTCGCCACCTTTGGACATCTCATTCCGTAATATAAATGATAATGCTAATCCAAATAATTATAACGACCTAGCGGGTCACAATGAAGGACTGCCACACGATCAGATGTGACCACGCAAGCCACTGCGACGCGGGCACTACTAATATAAATACCCTATCGCACATAGCCGTCCATTTCGCACCAGATTCTTTATTTTAGGATACTGGTCGTTGCTCTAAATTTGTAAAGACTTTATGCAAATCGCCAACAGAGCCGATTTAATGGGAACGTTCAACTTTTACGCGTATATTGGACCAGAGGACTTAGAGCCTGTTCAGGATTCGCAACCCAGGCCATTACCCGTCAAGTACAATCGTTTGCACAGGTTGAATTTCCAAACCTACCGCTTGCAGAGAATAAACAAAACATAACATGCTAATGGAAGAGATTTCCCAACGCAACCGCAATTAAGAGCGAAAAATATGCAAAATGGTTTGGGAGCTCAATTCATTTATCAGACGGCTTTACTAAACATAGTCCACGTCACTACACTTCTGACGACCTTGATTCGCCATTCACGCTGCACCGCAGTCGTTGACTAACCATAAATCAGTGATTTTCTCCAAAATATTTTAACAGTTCGGGACGGTCTATCAAACCAATTTTTGGTGGAAAATTAGGAACTTAGGGCCCGTTCACGCGTACACCTATCTATCTTAATTGCTTAGTGGGATGTGACTTCAACCGGGGACACCCACCTAATTGCATTAGGTCCCAAAATTGCGTTCACGCAGCACACTTATGCTAACGTTGATTACCTAGCTCTTAATTGATAGATAGCAATGCGTTGCCTTAACAGTGCTTTCCTATCGAAAGGTACCTTTTCGTTTGCTCCGTAGACACAATGGATAAGCCATATAGGAACCACTTGAGGTTCCTATTTGTATGGACATATACGCTTTTCTGGTTAAAATGCTTTCAGAATGATTATGTAATGACCTAAAAAGATGTTTTGATTCAGGATATGATAACTTGAGTCGTTAATTACCATTGCAGAGTATTATCGTACATTATCATGTAAAGCACATACAACCTATTTGCCGTAAAGATCACATTTTAAACGAAAGCATGCGTTTGTTTTAGATTTGTAAAGGCAAAACTGCAACAAGCGCGGACAGTTTGAATGCGCGCGGTCTATATTATAATTATTTTTAAAAACACGAATTCTTTTAGCACGGATTCATCTAATTAATCATTAGTTCGAGTCTGTGTGTTGCTGGCAGACACAATGTGTAAGCTGTGAACATTTAACTGGGAAAGAGTTTTAATGGGGGAAATATCGCTGGGTGCCGTACTTACTGGTAAGTAGTATTATTATTTGTGGTTGCACTTTGCAGGTAATAAATTTATCGCTAATGAGAAACCGCTGTTAGTGGTGACAGTTGAAAATAAAATAAAAGTCTTGTGGTGTAATATCAGTTTATTTATTGAAGCATTGTCCATTGTACACTGCTTTGTAAATTTATTGCGGTGTGCAGTTCATATTCTTCTGCCAGTGTTACTGCAGATTTACTGTAATGTAATAATTGTAATTCAATCACGAAAATAATAATTATTAC